CTCTATGCCCCCAGGAACCTGCTTGTCATTACTGGTTAAGGAGAACACAGTAGAATGAAATCTCCATGGAGGAGGCCATGCAGGGAGCCACTCAGGAGGGCAGCTGGAATTCTCTGCCATCCCCACTTGAGAGGCCCTTTTCCTCCTGGGCAGCAGCTGCTGGTTCTCATCCCCAGTTTACATTGTCCCCTGAGTATCGGTGACTAGGCAGGGTCAGAGGCTTCTCAGCAGACATCAGGGACATTGTTTCTAATTAGGGCAGGGCTGTGTGGCAGAGGACTCAGGAACTGCTGTTCAGAGCAGGAGCTCTGCTAAACAGTCTGGGTGTTGACCTTCCTCGTCCCTCTAGTCTATGGATAAAAATGAACGGCCAGTGTTGGACAATGGCTGGAGTCCTCTGTGTGTGTGTGTGTGTGTGTGTGTGTGAGAGAGAGAGAGAGAGAGAGAGAGAGAGAGAGAGAGAGAGAGAGAGAGAGAGAGAGAGAGAGAGAGAGAGAGAGAGAGAGAGAGAGAGAGAGAGAGAGAGACAGAGAGAGAGAGAGACAGAGAGACAGAGACAGAGAGAGAGACAGAGAGACAGGAGCAGAGAGAGGAGGAGAAAGGGAGAGAGGGAGAGAGGGAGAAAGAGAGAGAGACAGAGGGACGGAGAGACAGAGAGGGGCACAGAGAGAGACCAAGGGAGAGAGAGAAATTAACTGAGTGTGGCCGGGGAGGCAGCCATGATAAACACTTCCAAATAGGAAAATAAATTGTGGCTTAGTAAAGGAAAAGATGGCTGAACTATATTCGTGGTTGAATGTACTTTTTACTCATTAGTCAAGCAGGTACTGTCTGATGTCTAAACTTCCCTCTTTGGAAGGTTTTAAAAAAGTAGTCACAGTGGTGCCTGTTTGGAATCCAGGTTCAGTTTGTTCGACTCAACAAATACATTTATTTGTTTATTTATTTACAGACAGGGTCTCACTCTGCAGCTTAGGCTGGCCTTGAACTCATTTTGTAGCCCCGGCTGGCCTTGAACTCACAGTGATGCTCCTACCTCAGCCTCCCGAGTGCTGGGATTACAGGCATGTGCCACCACGCCTGGCTTTCAGCAAGTACTGTTAAAGCAATCACTCTATGCTGGACCCTGCTAAGTGGTACGGGGCATAGAGGGGCTACTGGATACAATCTCAGCTCTTGAGGAACTGATCAACTTGTTGGGAGATAAAAGTTATAAAAATGAAATGAATTTGGGGAAAATACAGGGCTGGTGTCAGCAAAGGGTTTTGTGGCCCTGACATGTGTTTTCTGTTCTGTGATGGCTTCCCCTCATGCAAGCTGGACACCAGGTCTGTATGGCCTTAAGACCATGCCACTGGGGAAAAGCCCAGGACTGGGAGCACTGGCACATATGGGTGTTATTTGAGCTACTCTGTGAGTGCACCCAGGGATAGCGCGTGGATGTCCTGTCATGTGACTCACAGCTGCTTGGTGATGCCCTAAAGGGTCTTATGCTGGGAGGACTGTCAGCAGGCAACCCTGTGTTCAATCTGATCTGCAGAGTAGGATACGGCCTCTCACCCTTCCTACCCCGGATGGTTGTATAACATGAGGGGTGGAATGTGGGAGCCTTTGGCACTGAGGCTGAATCTATAGTACATGGTGGCTTATCATCAGCCACAGGAGCTAGGTAGGCAGAAAGAAAGGGGTCAGTGCCTTTCATGATATGACACTTTCTGACGCCCTCTTTGCCCCAGCTGTCTGTCTTCCCCATTCTCTCTAGTGACTCATTCCTAGAAGATCATTCCTCACTCCTACTGTTCCTCTGACCCCGTAGCTTCCATGGTGACATGGCATGCATGTGCTCTGTCCCATCCTGTAGCTTGGACATAAAATGGCCCCTAAAGCCTCACGTATTTGGATTATGATCTTCTGCTAAGTGTGCTGTTGGAGGTGGGGCCTGATTGGAAGAGGCAGATCACTGACAGTGTGACCTGGAAGAGTGCATCTCCTTCCCAGGCTCCTCCTTCTTCTCTTGGCTTCCTGCCTGCCATGATGTGAGCAGTTTTCCTCCGCCAGATCCTTCCACCATGCTTTTCTGCCTTGGAATCAGCTGACCAAGGACTGTAACCATGAGCCAAAACAAACCTTTCCTCCTTTCTGTTGTGGATTCTGCATTTTATGTCCCAGCAATGAGGAACTGACTAAGACACCCCGCATCTAGGTGTCTGGCCTGTCCTGGATCCTAAGCCCAGATCCTTGACACCTCCTTGATGTCCTGTGGCTCACCAGCTCCACCTTGGCTTCTACCCTGAGAACCAGCTAAAGGTGTCATCCTCACCCAGTAGCCACCCTGAAGGCATTTGTGCTGCCCACCATGGGCAGCCATTGTCCCCCTCAGGTGATGCTGAGAGGACTAGTCCTCTCATTTCCTCTCTCACTGGTGTTCTCCTGGCTAATACCCTTGTTCTTTTTTTTTTTTCTTTGGTTTTTCTCCGGTACCAGGAATCAAACTCATGACCTTGCGCTTGCCAGGCAGGTGCTGTGCTGCTGAGCTAAATCCCCTTGTTCATTTTCATCTCAGCCATTATTTCAAAACATTTAAAATTACACACGTATTTATTTAGCTAGTAAAAGAACACCCTCTTTCTGTTGCCTAAAAGAGTTTTCTTTGTAATTCCACCGAAGAAGATTTGAATAGAATGACTGCTCCGGTTTTGATTGGTTTGTGCAGTTCACAGAACAAACCTGGACTAGCACTATCTTCAGTCTGAGCCCAGATTACCTTTCCATCTTCATGTGTTTGGGTTCTCTGGCTCTATGTACCGCTGCAGTGGGCATGCTGGAGAACTTCTAATGCCCCAGCCTGGGCACATAAGGCTCTGCATGCTGCTCTTTCTCCAGCCATGCCTTCTGCTGGACTGACCTCTAACCTCATTCAGAGTTCAACGTGCTCATTAAAGCCTGTATGTACAGAGCACTAGGCATTATCTGTCACTCCTTCCATCAGCCCATCATCTCTAAGAAGAACCAGGATGTGGGGACTCTGTCTGTTTCAGATCAATGTGGCTCTGAGAAGAGTGTGAGTCTTTCTCCTTTCCCCATAGTGCAGATGAGTCTGTCCGGTCTTAAACCCTGAGTGAGGTGTACAGCCAGAGGGATTTCAGGAACACTGTGTAGCACCCAGTTCTGAGCCCTGTGCTGGTTAGGTGGCTGACCTCATACTGGCCTTGGGTCCCCACCTCTGCACCTGTCTTTCCCTTTTCAAGGGTGCTGAGTGTCTTTTCCAAGTCTGAGGACTTGATTGGCAGCCTAATCTGCCCTCCATCACTCCAGTACTGGAGGCTGTCCTGCGCTAGGTAGTTCTTGCTGTTGAACTCCAGTCTGGTGACTGGTACTTGTGAGAGTTCCTTGGTGTTAACTTATGAGTATGTCACATGGATGGACATCTTAATATTTACCTCCGCCTGTCTGTCAGTTACTCTTGTTCCTCCTTCTTGGGTGCCATCTGGATGTCTTATGTCTGCCTTAATTTGCCCCTCCCTCATGTCATACCTGCAGATGTATTTGCCAGTCCATGGCCCCAGGGGAATCCTAGCTGTGCTGCAGAGAGCAGCATCACTCACCATCCAGGTGAAGAAGCCAGGAACCTTGGAGTGGTTTCGCCCCTTCCTTGGGGTGCTTTCCCACCAAGTTCACCTGTAGGTCCCCTTCATTCTACTGTAGTCCTGAAGAGCGCACTGTTCTCCAGCTTCACACCGCATGATTCTCATGCTAATTCTGATCCCTGGCATCTCTCACCTGACTTACTGCGGTTGCAGCTTCATGATTCTCCTCAATCGTCTCCTGATATCTCTCCAGCACTGTCTTTCTGCTTTACCTGGAAAGAAAACATGTAATACTGTTTAAGTAGCATCACGATCCTCCTTAAAACTCTTCCAGATCTTTTAGGAATAAAGACCTCAATGGAAGAATGTTAGAAACAGGACCTCCAAAACCCCACGCTAACTCCCAGCATCCTCTTATTCTCTGACCAAGGCCCCCTTTCTTCTAACGCACCCATTCTGTTTCCTCCCACTTGTGTTTGAACATGCTGCCTACTTTCTTGCATCTCTGTTCTCAGCTGTCACCTTACAGCCCTGGCATGCCTGTCTGTGCCTACAGACACTGGACTCTTTTTTTGGTATCTTTCGCATGCACTTGCAGCTCCCTGAACACCCCCTCGCTAGCACTCTGCACAGGTTTAAATTACAGAGTCATTCGATCTTTCATTACTGTGTTTCCCATAGTTGGCTCCAGTGAGGAACCATGTCTGTTTTGCTCACAGTTTTATGGAGCCCTATGATTAGCATGTAGTCAGTGCTTTGTACGTATGATTAGATGAAGTGAATAGCCTCAGTGTGACCTGTTCTTTCTCGCAGAAGTTAACCGAGGTTATGTACAGGCATGTCCTAGATGGGATGCTCTATCACTAATCTTCCCTCTAAGCCTAAACGCAGAAACCACTTTATACAGGAGAAATCATGAAATAAATGTACAAAATGGAGCTACCGAAATTCTTAGTCCATATCCCACATTGTTTATGAAAGTATTTAGATATGCATATTTATTACTTAATTTTCTTGGTGTAAGGATTTTCATAGATACTGTATATTATTATACTTTAAGTTTCCTGTGCTTCTTTGAACTCAGATCCAGCAAAAAGTACATTTCTTCCTATTAATTTCTTCCTTCTTTTAATCACATGTGTTCTGTTTCACATGGGATTCCTTTTTGACCTTAACTGCTGGGATACTTCGTGCAGAATTTCATGTTTAACTGTAGTGAGTACCTCTTCCCAGGTATCTAGTTGCATTTATTTTGTGCTCTTTTACATTGTTTTATTTTTTTGTTTTTATTGTTGCAGTGTGTTATACTTAATTATTAAAGACAATTTAGACTTTTTTGTTATAAGTATATATTATATTTATCTATCTATCATCACAAAACCCTTATTCTTTCTCTTTTTTTTTGTACCATAGAGGTAATAGTCCATATTCTTCATTTGGAGCAACTCTGGCGAGGGATGATGAAAAGAATTTGTGGAGTCTACCTCATGATGTGTCCCACACAGAGGCGGATGATGACAGAATCTTGTACAATTTGATAGTTGTTCGTAATCAGCAGGCCAAAGACTCAGAGGTAAGCACTTTTTGACATCTTACAGATGCTACTGGACAGCAAAGTATAGCAATTACAAGAAGACCAGCTTGAAATAAGGAATGAGCTGTTTGGTGGTTTTTTAAAATTACTTTTATTGGTACACTTTTGGTATACATAATGATCACATTCATCATAGAGAATTTGTACCTGTACTTAATATATCTGGAATCTTTTTTTCTCCCATTCTGTTGTTTGTTTTTGAGAATGGGTGTCACTATGTTGCTTAGGCTGGTCTCAAATTCCTAGATCAAGACACCCATTTCAGGCTTCTAAATATCTAGGACTACAGATACACACCACAGTGCCTGGCTTATAGATGAGATACTTGAGATGAAGGCAGGGATAGCAGATGTTATCATTAGTTGCTAATTATTGCTAGTGCTGATAGACCTGCTTGATACCACAAATAAGACTCATTTCTAATTATACCTTAATGGTAGACATTACATGCAAGGCAATGCTGGTGAAGAATGGGAAGACAGATCATCTCAAGTAGTCCATCTCTAATCTTTCCAGTTGTTTAACAAGCCATGGTTAGAGGGTTCACCCTAATTTGAAGGGTGCTTTGCATTTTTATTAATTCTGAATTAATGGGGCCTGAATTAATGTTATTTTTCCTGTTTAAAGTGTCTGAAGCTGTGCACATTGTTTAAACAGTAATAAATCTGCCATATTTGGGATGGTTTTTGTGATAAGGGTTTAAGCCACTTTCAATGACTGTAAATTCAAAGAACTGTAAGGTAAAACAGCAACAAGAATTGTGCTTTTGTTCTCCTTTCAAAACTAGTATTAGAAAAAAAACAAAACAAAACTAGTATTAGAGTACTATAGTGAGTATTATATGAAATCCTTTTCTAAATAACACAGTCTGACTTTTTTGACTTCTGCATTGTCAGCGCCAAGTGGACATGTGTATTAATAGACACCACATGTTTCTTTGTGTCTTGCAGAAGTTGGGAAAAGTAGCTCTGCAGAAAAGCCCTAGAGTATAGTGGGGGTGGGAGCTGGAGGTGTTATTTATTCCTTATCAAGATTTGCTAATCAGCTGCTATTTTGTTCCTCAAAAACCACATTTTGTTAGGGGATAGTAACTTTTGAAAGTGCCGTGTGTTCTGGTCCTGTTATTCTGGTTGGAGCTGGGTACCTTTGGAGGTTCGAGGTGGGATGGGAGAGATCTGACAGTTGCCTGATTCTAGAGGCTAAGAGAAGGGTGTGCTGGAGAATCCCACAGTGGCTGTTGACACAGATTATCCCACTGGTAGCCGAACACCATGCAGTCTCTATCTTCACAGTTTCCCAGCAACTTCCTCTCTTTGCCTGGTAGCACTGACAGTAGGTCACAAGGGTTGTTGCCACTACAAACAGCCTGCAGTAGCTACCCTTCCTGAATGTATGGAGGGAATGTGTGGCATCGTTCCTCTTCAAGGGGAAGAGTAAATCCTCATCCCACTGTATTGGGTTGACCAGTTAGGGGTTTGCCAGTGACAGTGGAATCCTTCCTCTTCTTCTCTGATCCTGCCTAAAGCAGCAACAGCACAAGGGAAATAATGTACATGGGTAATTTAGCCCCTTACTACCACTGCTACCACCACACACATGCAGCAGTCTATAAAGGGTGTTTGGAGCCTAGCCTGACTGCTGTCCCTGGAGGAGCTCCTGTGTCTGTTTTATTTACCCTTGTCTTTAAAGACAATTAGAGGGGCAACATGAGCTACTGAGAGCTCTCAATGAGCATAGCTTCCTAAGTGACCATTGTGTGTTTTCCGTGCTGGCCATGGGTATGGGGCGAAGAGTTGTTCAAGAGGCTTTTTCTTTTTCTTGCCAAAGAAGTGAAGTCAAGCCTGACTCTGGAGGAACTCTGTTAACCAAAAAAGGCAGCCCAAGACATAACATGAAGATGTAGTGAGAATGATGCATGAAATGATTTGAAATATCCCTGGTCGTAGTGCTTCCTTTAAAAAAAAAAAGTATAAAAGTGATGTGATTAATAAAAAGATGCTTATATTTTCTTCCAAAAATTTGAAATGCAGGTGTATAGTCATATATGTACTCATATTCCTCACAGATTGGATTGTATATCACATACTGTTCTAAACCTTTTTTTCACTTAATATTTTGGACACATTTTCATTTCAGTGTGCTCAGATTTACTTTATTGCTTCACAGGACTCTGGTATTCCCGTCCATGGATTTACCATCATTTATTCAGTCAGTCCCTACTGATATCAATTTTTTTGCTACTAGAAGCAGTACTGCAGTGGCCATCCATATGCTTGTATGACTTCCATATTTTTTTCTAGGAAGAAAGTCACTGGGTCACAGTATGTATGTTTAAAATGTTGGAATTATGATAATGCTTCCTTTTTGGAGGAAACTAGGAAAAACACTTCAAGGTGTAGAACACAGGTTGCAATCTCAGATCCTTCCAAGGACTACATACAGTATCAGTGAGTGAAGTGGGTACTCCCCTTACGCCAGCATTTTGAATGGCGTTGGCGGCTCTGCTGTGTTTATGGGGAGCAGTTGCTAAACTTCAGGTAGCTGCTGCCTGGGCTGAGAACATGAACCTGCAAAGGCTGAAAATTTGGATTTTTTTAAAGAGAAGCTGAAAAATTTTTTTCATAGAAAAGGGCCAGATTTAAAAATAACTCCAATTAAAAAATATGTCAGCTAAGGAAAATATGTTAATGGACTCTTGATACATAAGGATAGGTACAGTGATTAAATCTATCACTTCTTATTTTGCCCAGTATGGTTGAAAATGAACTTAACATTGACTTAAAAGATGAAAGTAGAAAGCTGGTGGGGGTGTTTTACATTTGAATAAGTTCTACCCATATTGGGCTGGGGATTTAGCTCAGCGGCAAAAGCGCCTGCCTGGCAAGCGCAAGGTCGTGAGTTCGGTTCCCGGTACGGGAGAAAAACCAAAAAAAAAAAAAAAAAGTTCTATCCGTATTACTATTGCTTATTTTCTTTTTCATGCAGAATAACATTGATACGTATTTTAATAAAACAAAGGGTTTTGGCTTTGAAAGAAAATAAAATTCTACCTGCTAAGGAGTAAGGAACTCTACATACTTTTGCATGTTACAGTTTAGAAGCTCAAGCAAGGTATTAAGGAGACAGAACAAAAAATTTTTTTTCTTGACTAAGAATAACACAAAAGACTGTCCATTCTTAGAGTCCTCCGAATAATGAAAAATAATTTCAAAACAGTGTGTGTACTACCTACCTCCTCCACTGAATCAAGTGGATGGAAGAAGCAAGACAAATTATTAAGGTTAAATTTACAGTGTTTCAAATTGAAAAGCAGTGAGAAAAGAAGATATACAGGGAAGCAAATAATGGAGAACAGGCATGAACTTAAAGTAAGGTGCAGTGTCAAAAAGTGTAAAAAGTGGCATTATTTAAATGTCATGGCCTTCAAAAGCTGGTGGAAAACAGACTTTCAGCAGAAGAAATGATGTATTGGCAGCTCTTCAAGGAGTGGAAAAATTAGCTCTCTTGCTTTTGAATTATGTCATAAAGTATTTTATCTTTGAATAATGATAAACAACCTCAAAATCATACCACTGAATCATTATCTTTATGTTTTTTTCTTATTAAACTGGTTGTACTTTATATAACACACTTTTCTAAAGAGCTTAGTAACTGATAACCTGATAACCTAATTTATTTATTTTATAAGTAATTGTGAGTATACTGAGTAATCTTTCCTCTATGATATGAATAATAATAAAAATAGTGCTAGGCATTCTTTTTCCCATTTTGCATGTATCAGTGATGCCCTGCCTTCTTAACGGCAACTCAGAGGTGCTGCAGGTGTCATTACTATTTCCAATTTAAGCAACTTATCCAAGACCACACAGCTGTTAGGTTGGAAGCCAGGATCTGAATTTGGGCTTTGTGACATAATGTGTAAAGGGATTCATGGTGGAAATTGTGAGAGAGGAATAGGTGCTCTCTAATTAAATACAGATTTTAAAATACATCAACAAAGTCTGCTCAAAGCCTATGCCTGTGACTCACTTGCTGAGGCCAGTGAGTGTGAAGGGCATTTTCACACAAGGGGGAAGAGAGCCATGCTTGGTTGGAGGCTGGTGTCTGTCTTCAGGAAGTGGTCCTGGGTATGACATATTTCCCATGTTATACTTATCCATGGTGATTGAAGTTGGTTAAAAATCATTTTCTGAGCTTCTGTTTGATAAGCTCCATGGAATAGCATTCTTCTTATTTCCATCCTTTCTTTACTTTGTTTATTATTCTTTGACTTGTGTTATTTGGTGCCACTTCCAGTGGTTTAGTAACAGTTCCCATAGGAGTTTGTACCTTATTTCAACTTTGCTGAAAAAGCACATATCACCTTTTCTGGATGTGTGTAGTGCTGTGGATTGCACCTGGATCACTGAACTAACTCCCCCAGCCCAGCTTTGACACTTTTAGTTAAGAAAATACAAGCTTAATATCAGATAATTCTCATAAACATCTTTAAGTACTATTTTGGTTTAAAAAAAGGTGATGTTTATTAGGCATAAAGGGGACAGAAAGTCTGTGCTTATTTTTAAAAACTTTTCAGTAATTATATGCTCAAAAATATGTGTAATTCTCATAAGCAGTGCCTGCCTTAACACTGAATGATGCAATATTTACACATCAGCAGAGTCACATGGTAGCCAGATGCTTGTGTCTCTAGAGTGATCCCCTGGAAACCACACTCTGTTGAATCCTGGGGGAGTGGCTAAATATCATTTTCTTTTTAAGTTACAAAGACAAAAGCCTAACGTGTTACTTGCTGGTTTACAATGTGTTTGCTCTTCTTGCCTGTCCATAGTGTTACTAGCCATTGTAAACAGGTAAGGCAATGTATTTCATATATAGACCTTCCCAGAGGCTGTTTTCTAAAGTTAGTCTGTCACATCTCAAATCAAAAAGAAGTGGCCAAGCAGAGTGAATTGGAATATTTGGTGGGAGCATGTGAG